AAAAAATTTGTTGAATTTGGTTGGATGGTTGTCAAGATACCTTCGATCAATGTCATAAACAATCTTGCCGCGACTAACATTTTAATAGACGGTTAAAATTTTCCAAAACTTTGATCGAAGGTATCTCAATATCTATTCAACTAAATTCGATGAACTTTTTTTTATTCGGATTCTACAGAACTGTAGAACTCAAATAAAAAAAAAATTCATCGAATTTGGTTATGTAGTTGCCGAAATACCTTCTATCAAAGTTTTAAAAAAAGAGTGATCTACATGGGGTGTGGAAATAAAAAAAACGGGTGTGGAAATATCAGGTCCCTATATTTATCTTTACATCAATCAAAAAAAATTCATATTTTTATCAAAACTTTTAAAAACAAGCTATGACATTAGAATAGATGGTGATACATCAAAAGCTCCTACTGGTATGATACTCTTTCAAATTTTGTAACAATTATACATATAGTTTTTATTATTTAAATAAATAAAATTTACCATTTAATCTCATTTTCCTAGTATCCTCTCTTTTGTATGCACAAGATCCAACATTGCCAACTCCATTACGTAATGTACATCAATTAGATCATGCAACATCTGGATGTTATTGTTTAGCATTATCAAAAAAAGCAGCTGGAATTGCTAGTATAGCGTTCTCAAATCGTAAAGTTGAGAAAACATATTCTGCAATTGTAAGAGGATGGATGGACCAAAATAAGTAAGTACCTTTAAATTTTAAATGCAATCTGACAAGTTCTTTAATAGTGAATAATAGATAAATAAATAAACATAATAAATTAATAACAAATAAACAAAAAAATCTATAAATAATATATAAAAAAAAGTTATATAATAGAACAACCAATCGCCCAAGTTCCAAATAATCGGTATCGAATGTGTATCGGGACGCCTGAAAATCCTGGAAAAGTACTTTAAATTCTATGTATTAAATTAAACATTGTTTAACATATTTTCTAACATACACACCATATTTCAGTCTGGAAAAACAAAACTTGAAGTTATTCGCCGTGGATACTTTTATCCCACCTCATCTTCTTCTCTTTCTTCAGAATCACCAATTAAAGTAACATTAATAAACCTCTACCCAATAACAGGTCGAAGACACCAACTCCGATTACATTGTCAATATTTAGGTCACCCAATTGTTGGTGATTGGCATTATGAATCACAAATTATGGAATATACTGACACATTTCGTATGATGTTGCATGCTTGTAAATTACGCATTCCTCTAAATATTATTAAAGGAGTAAAAATGGGAAATGTGAAAAATTCAAATAGGAATGTTAAGAATGATGATTTGGAAGATTTACATGAACTAGATGTTGCATCTGAAGACCCATTTTCAGAATTGGTTTACGAGTGTATGAAGGATGAAATATGATAAAAGTAAAAACAAATATTATTTAGAGTTCTAATATTTAATACAGTGGCGATCATAAGTAATGGAGCAAAAAAAAAATTTTGTTTAGATCACGTTATTTCGAGCAAGTCTAAACGTATCCTTTTTTTTTTTTTTTTAATTTATTCGTGAATACTATAGATTTCATGTATTAAAAATTCAAAAAAAATAAATGAACCTAAATTTTTGTTAACCCAAATTTTATTTCATTTGATGTGTTGCATTACTTTTGATCGTATGTAATGCAACACAATATTTTTTTTTTATTTTTTTTATTTTTTTAAAATGATGGTCATGTCACATGCCCTGCTTTATTCATGTCATTTTACTAATTCAGAATTAGTGAGTTACACTATGCCTTATGGCAAAAAAACTGGAATGTGACTCACCCAGTTACTTTGCGTAACTAAATACTAACTTAGCACCTATGTGCAACCTGCCAATAATGAGTTCAAGCTCCCTGGTTTGGGTCAATCTACCGTAGAAAGACCCACTCCAGATCACTGCCCTGGTTCATCAAATGCAACACAATATTAAAACATAAAAAAAAATTTTTTACATATAAAAAAAATTTTTTTTTTCTATTTTAATCCTTTTGGCCTCTACCACCTGGTGTATCCACCGCATGTCTTGATAATGTCACGAACACGTTCAGGCATGGATCAAATCAGGTCGGTACAGGTCTCAATGCTGATTTGTTCTTAAACCACCTGGATCTTGTTTCACAAGTCTTTTTTATCTGAAATTTGTCCAGGAAGGTTCATAAGTTGTTGGTCAACCTTATTCCACAAATGTTCGATGGGGTTGAGATCCAGAGACTGGGGGCCAATCCAACATCCTAACTTGATTATTTCTCAACCAATACAACATTAGCTTCGCCATATGTTTAGGGTTGTTGTCTTGCTGGAAAATAACATTGTAAAGATCAAACTCATAATCCCTAACCATATCCAAAAAATTCTCATAAAGTATCTGTCGATACAATTCACTATCCATGTTGCCTTCAATTTAGCAAAACCTACCAACACTGTGAGATATGAAACAGCCCCAAATCATTACAAAGCCACCTCCGTACTTTATTATAGGTTTAATGTAGAAGTTGTTTAACGGTTTATTAGGACGCTTCCAAAAGTATTGTTTGCCGTTAGACTCAAAGATTTTAAACTTTGACTCATTAGATTAGATAACATGAGCCCAATCTTTGTAGGTCCAGTTTTCATGTTTTACCACAAATTTTAATCTACATTTCTTGTAAATTTTGCTCAGGTAGGATTTTTTCTCTTAATTTCTGAGACCAAACCGTGGGCTCTAAGTATATGACAGATAGTGGGTGCCGAAATGTCAATGTTTTCTTGTTCTTTAAGGTGAGAGCAAACTTTGACCACACTAGAATAGTGACAGGAGACAATTAGGTTAACAATTCTCCTTTGGGTTGGTTCGTCCAGAGCAACTGAGCAACCAACCCTTTTCAAGTCCTCAAGTATGCGGTGTCATAGCCACTTATTTTTGATACAAATTATAGTAGAGGAGCTAATATTGTAGGTAAGTTCTACTGCTCTTGCTGTGTGTTTTTTCTGCAGCAAAAGTAAAATATTAGCCCTTTGGGCTGTGGTCATTCGTTCTTTTTTTTGTAAAGTTTGATTATCGATGAAATTCAGCATTATACAATGATACAAAAACAACAATGTAATTTACTTTTATATTGTTGTTTTGTGTTATATAAGCACCTTATCTGATTTTAATTTTGAATAATTAAAAGTAATACACTACATGTTTTGTATTATATGCATGATTATTTTTGAATCAACAACAACAATGTTTATTAAAAATTTAATATTGAAACAAATAACTATTCACAAATAAATTAAAAAAAAAAAGATATGCCTAAAATTGCTCGAAATAATGTGATCTAAGCAAAATTTTTTTTTGCTCCATTACTTATAATCACCACTATATATATGAACTTGAAAAACATGAAAAGCAAGAAACATAGAGTATGAAAATAATAAATATAAGTAAAAATATTAGAATTTTCTCAATGGGTAAATCTTTAATTATTACTAATAAAAATTTAAATCAAATTGGTTTACTGCCAAAAAAAAAAAGATTCTGTATACAGTATAAGGAATATATCCCTTAAGCTGTAGAGTTCGTGTAACAATTTTAGCTTAAAAATAGCATAAATTTAGTTATGATCTATTTTT